ATCTATTCATTGAAGGTACTCCATTGAGGTTTTTGTTTACATGACGGGGCTGGAAATATTTGTTCGAGAATAAATTTCCATATGATGTATGTGTAGACCAATAACTTGTGTGGAAAATAAATATGTTTGTCTAGGATTCTAAAAGTTATCAAGTTACTTCAAGGACATCTTGCACGTTTGAAAATTTATGTCACAAGTTTTTTTTCCAAGTTACCGGAAACCCGTTTAGAAAGAAATGTAATTTTCTTATACGACACCAATAAGAAACACCCACCTGAAACGCAAGATTGTTATTTACAATTAACTTTTAAGTGCGCATTATTTAAGTCTGTCGGCAGGCAGTTTATATTCTGACTGGTAATTAATGGATTTAACTCAATACAGGATTGGAGCTGTACCTGTAGACGCTTGCAGAAATCATGATCACAAAATAGACAAATATCGTTTTTTTCGCCGATTTTTACATTTTTCATTAATTATCAGACATAAATCGGTGTGAAAAGATGAATAAGACGTTTTAAAGTTAATTCCGTTGGGTGAAAAAGCAAGATTTTAGCATTTTATAATTCAAGCGCCTTGTCCGGTATATACCGGAATAGGTTTTTAGTGTGGCGCTCCAATCCTTTTTTTAGTCTCACTCGTAATTAATTGCTATCTGTACTGATTTTTTAAAGTAATGTTATCATACATCATTTTGTAAATCTTATAAAGAAAATCTCGTGATTAATATGTAAGAATGTTTTTTCTCGATTAAGTTCAAAATATTAATCTTTTAGACCTCTGTAAGAAGCATTTCTGTCAGTTTAATGGGGCCCTTATTGGGTATATACATCCCAATTGTATCAATTTATTTGTTCTTTCTAAACATTGTATTGTAAAATTAACTTACTTGTTAAATCTATATATATAGAATTTGAATGGCTTATAAGAAAATAATAAGAAGGACTTTTATATATTTAATTCAACCAAAGCATATACACATCACACACACTGACCATGGGACAAATAATCTTAAATAGAGAGCAACACTGATGTTATTTGCTTACATATTAAGGCATAAACTGTTATACTACATATCTATTTGAGAGTTTTAAATCATATATATTTTTGTAATTGACGAATGTGCGAAAAGTCGATGTGTGTTAGCGTAATTGGGGCCCATAAAAGCTTTGTATCGATTAATTTATATAATGAAAATAATTCACAAACGAGAAAATTTAAGCATATGAAATTAACAGTATATTTCATAAGCATTTAACTTATACTGTGAACATGGTATACGTGACTTTCTCTCTTGTGCGTTTTGTTTTGTGTGTTCAAATAATAAATCTTCGACTATTTTGTTAGACATTTAAATACTCAATGACTTTTAATCGGTAATAACGATTCTTGGGAAACCATACGGATTTTAATGTGTTACATTTTAGTACACTTAAACCGTAAATTGTAGAAGTAAAAAAAAAAGTGAAAATATCTCCCGCCAATTAATCGGTCTAAGGCCAATATTGCCAAATAATAACTTAGTACAGTTTCACAAATTAGGACTACATTAATGTAATAGTTTTCTATTAGTATTAAAAACGACCTTAAGATATCGCAGTAATGTTGATTGAGCAGTTTGATATGGCCATATATTGCAATGTTTTCTCAAATTCGGTTTCAAGGCTACCGGATTTCAACAATATATGATTGATCATGTGCACAAAGCATGGTACGTGAAGTATAGCATTACTTTGTCGCAATTATATCCCAAAATAGAAAGCATTGATAGAATATGTAAAGAATTAGGTACAATATCTTATGTCATTTACATGTCAAGGATAGGCTTGTTTATTTTGCTAGATGATGGAATATTCTTAAAATGTGATACTGTAGGGCATGAAATAAATAATCACTTTATGTGAACTTTATGTTATGGAGGTTGTAAATCAAAAGATGAAAGAAATTTACGTAGTCATCGTAAATTAGTTCCTTCGTTTGTAAGTTATAGCATTTTCAGAAAAGAAAAACGCATACCAGGTACAAACAATATATATCTTTTTCTTTTATAATATGTTAATTTATTGATCACCGTGTATATCCAGTAACGCCGGAATGTTAAAATATCGCACGATTCGTGCAATTAGTAACGCAGAATTGTGCAATAAATGGTGGATACCTGACAGGATTTCAAACGCGGTAAGTAAACTGGCCAATATATTTTTTTATTTAACCGAGCTGTCAACAATAAAAGGCTGCATACGGCTGCAAAGACATAACTCTTTATCCCTCATCAAGATCATTTCAACGAAATTGTTTACTTTTCAAGATCTTTCGTGAAAATGATGACTTGACTATCGTTGAGTTTTTGTCGACAATAATGCATATTGTTTCGTATCAATTCGATTTTAGGTAGGCAAGTGACATTTACTAAAATTTTGGTGACATAAAAAATTGAAGAAAACGGATGAAATGGGATTTAAGTTGTTTTTATGAGGTACGTCGATGTAAGTGAATAGTGCTTCGCCGTAACTCCGGAAAATGTGATTTTTTCACATTCCAGTGTTACTGGATATACACGGTGTTGATTGACCTAGTGATTATAATAGCATTATTTTTTGACTTCATCTTTAATAATGATAAATAACGTGGTCAAATTAAATAATTATAATTCAAAAGGTATATATATAAACAGAGAGAGATATTAGATGGTATAAACAAATTTCTACTTATTGTCACTAACGAAAAGATATATATGTTCCAATTCGACGGATCGGTCGGTATATACGTTGGTTGTCCCAATATTCTTTGACAAAAATGTTCAAAAGTTTAATTCAATAGGTATGAATAAAATATATTAATACGTTATCAACTCATACAATTAGAACATTTTCACTAATTTACATAGAACAATATCAACAAGCATTGTAATGCCAACAGAAATACGATGGTAACTATGTGAACCGCGGCGCAAGTCAAACGTCAAAGATGACTTAAAACTTACATTCTATTATCCACGGCATACAGCGCATAAGCAGTGCCACTTTACCACCAACCAATCGTCAACAACAGACTTAAACAATGTGGTTGTTAGTCTCTGTTGAACGTTATGGTAGCAGACAATTTCTCGCTAGAATCATACTTCCTGTCTCATAACACCTTCTCTGGCTGTGGGAATTATGCGACGGAGATCGGTCCTGTTTGTATATTTTTTTTATAGTTTTTGTTAATCACTCTGGAAACAATTAATTTATAACAATCTTTTCCACAAAGTTTTCAATCCCATCGTTCCTCGATTAAACAGATCGGACAGTCGAGTTCATTATTACCCGATTTATGCACGGTTTAATGAAAGGAATGATTACACGCCTATGATGTGTGGCAAAAATAAGTTACATTTATGCCTTAGATTGCTTTCAGTTATATAGTGTGCCGGAAGTATACTTGACATTTTAATGACGTCACATTTCTTCTTCTTTCCCTTCTTCTTCTTCTAATAACAATAATTTAAACTTTCTGTATTGCAAATCTCTGTTTTTGTCGTGTCTAGATATACTCACAGAACCGGAAAACTGTTCGCTGCGCGGCACGTTCTCCGGACGTGGCCGTTTTTTAACTTTCCATTTTCTAATTATATGTTTTCATTTGTCTGTCTAGTTATTAACCTGAAACTTTCTGAGATGAGATCATCATACATCAGCAGATGAAGTCATTGTGAAATTGTACAGACACATAATCAGATATTTGAAATATACATAACTTATATGATTTGTCACGGAGTTTTTGGACAACCCATATATATTTTAATCAAAGATTTATATGACCAAGTTTTAGCTTTTTGTTGTTCTAAACCATGTTAACCAATTAAGTTAATTTAATTTTTAGAAAGGTCTGTTTGCAATAATATTACATTTTTTGCAAAAAAAAATACAGAACTGTTTGCTGTACTGGTAACCATGCAATAGATTGCATTTGTAGACGGCTGTTTCTTTGAATATGCCGTATACGTCATCAATGTAAACAAATTCGCATCTGTGTTTGTCAATAACCCTGTGTTAAAATGTATTTTGTATTAAGAAATTTCGATGTAACTTCCTTTTTTTCAAAATGGTTCAGGAAAATAATTACATATAGCTCTGCATGTTTTGGCAATTCGCATATGTAAAATTCAGACTGACGTATGACTAAACTAAATCTGCTTGTTAATTTAGATGGCATAATGTATTTGAATTGTGATTAAATTAAAAATAATCAGGGTCAAGATGGTCCGATATCACTCACCTGGAATCAACTGCTGTAAAATGTAACACCTTTTAGCTCATTAGAGGACAATGTATAGATTTGCCTCTGAGACATGTGAACATGGTGTACAGTAATATATAAATCCCCAATGTTTTTAGTTATAAACTTATACAGACCTTATTTTAGTTCAATTGTGCAGGAAGCTTGCAGTTTATACACGAACTCTCGGATCCGTCTTTAGAACAAACCAGTACTGAGTGAAAAGGTTCTTGCTTAAGGAGCAAACGACTTGACGCTGTCGGGGTTTAAACCCACACAACTAGAGACCATGAGAATTATTGTCCACTCGTCCACACATACTTTTCTTACGGGCGATGTCATTATCATTATTTTTTTACATAGAGTCGTTGAAGAATTTATAACATCTAATGATTATATCACCATTATAGTTAATTAGATACACAAACAATAGGTTGTAACCTATGAATTTACAAGGTCGATAACAAATAAAAACTATATTCGTGTTCTGTAATTAGTCGTATTGCAATAAATATGAAAAATCATACAACATATATTCCTTATAATTTGAATTTTATTACTAAAAACAAATTTTACATTTGTGTATACCTTAAATCATTGGTATCATCAGAGTTGAATTAACAAACAACTGAGTTTATGTAAAGTTCTCCAACTTATCCAATAATCAATGTCACATTAGCAGTAATATATCTTTCTGAACAATATATTTCGTTGCTCGACATACATGCAGCAGTATCATATAAACTTATCATCAGTAACAAAATATTTATGTATTAATTTATATCTTTACAATTTGTAAAATATGGAATAAACTTTAATTGATTTCTTATTTATATACACATAAGGTTTTTTCATAAGACAACATAGATTACATTAAAAACGATAATATCACGAACATTAAAAGATGCTTCCATTTGTCGTTTTGACAATAAAAAAACAAAAAACATGCATTTCTATAGGAAAAATAAGTCAATCATTTCCGTCTTTGTAGGCATAGACATTTATATCTCACTCATGATCAAGCATTAGGCTTAAAAAGGTTATGACACAAAACAAGCATTATTTCTACAAAGCAGTAACAAGAGGGTTATGATTGCCCGCGATTGCTTACCTGAGGTACATGCTAAAAAAGGAAAAAGACACATTGGGTTTGTCTTTTTTTCTCCTAGCTGTATTATTTAAAAAGATGTAGACATCTGCTACAAATTGCTTCATGATATATGTCTAAGCATTTTGCATTGTGTCATTTACATACTTAATTAATCAATTGTTTAACCATATATTAAACAAAGTGACCCCACCCCAGGACAGGACAGTTTTAACCGTAGCATTTATAGATACTTGGGGCGTGATTTATATAACTTTGCAACAACTCTAGATATTGCAGTTTCATAAAAGAAAGCTTAAAATTTAAGCTCTGAGCATTATTTCTTCTAATTTTTTTGATATCTCGTTTTAGGTTCTAAATTTAGCTCCTTTGACAGACTTATGCATCGGACTGGAACCATATAAACAACCTTTAAGAGGACACTTAAGGATAATTCCTGTAATATTTGGACCAAATCTATTATGCGGTTAAGGAGATGTTGATATAAGAAATACTGGACAATGATTAATGACGGACGCCGGGAACACTGCCAGCACAAACGCTTATCACTGAGCACTTTGTGCTAAGGTGAGCTCAAATGTAAAATACAACGAGGAAGATGAAATGAGGCATGCAGACATAAAACTATGTTCCGTAAGCGTTTCGGGAAGCATACAAATATTAGAATATCAAACATATTGAAGGAACTCTAATGAGATAAATAAACTTAAAAACCAAATTTGAATTTCTTACAGATATCAGCTAGAACACTTTTAACAGAAAGACATGTACATGATAATTGAAACATATACTCTGAAAACACTGAATATCGTCTTTTGTTCTATTCTAAAATATGGTAAACAAGATCAACAAGGAAAGGCCCGATTTGAGTGAAGGCATTTCAACACTTATCCATTTCGAGTAAACTTCGACAATGAGACATAATATTATTAAGGAAAAATCAACAGAGTGAGCGAATGATCTTAAATTTTGCAAGCCAGTTAATGGCCAAGACGTACATCAAATAGTTCATTGATCTCGAAAGATTATTTCAGTCCCGTTATGTCACAAACCAAAGCGATATTCTCCTGGAATTTCATTTTTAATCAGGTACTGTTAAAGAGTTATTATCAACATTGTAGTAAATGCTTGAACTTTGCAAAAGTGTAGTGAAAGGCACTACTACGCCTGCACACACACATACGCGCCGACATTCCCTAATCTAATAATCAGAATTATATTGCATAATTATATCAAAACATATTTCGATTCTGAAAAGAAGGAATTTTTTGTTTTACAGCAGAATATTACATTCCAAGTCATGTCAGAAGTTTTTCTAACACTTAACTTAAAATGTCATTTATAATTATTGCTTCATAAGTTAAATATATGGTGAGAACAATATATGCAATTTATACTGACTTTGAATAACTGTGATCTAAAAAGGAAAACTTTATACTGTGTTGATTGTTTTTGATCGTTCGCTTTTTCAAGAAAAACTATTTTTATAGTGCAAAAAATTTACAAATGAAAACTATTTAAACAAATCTAACACAAATTGGAAGAAGATTTTTATTATGAGCATATTTCTGTATTTTAAATATCCAGTTGATCTACGTTAAGTTTTCAAGATTTAATGTTTTTATGCTTTTGGACCTCCTTAGAGCTCCTTTAAGATAAATATGTGTCTCTGTTTTGAAAATAAATAAAGCAAAAATATACTAAGTTATAATTGTAAATAACACAAATTTTGTCGATGCTTACTATTTACACTATCAATCTATTTCGTCAAGAAATAGTTTCTCTGTATCACTTTGTTTGCTTTCCAATTTGTCCTTCTTTCTCTTCTTTTTCTTCTTTTTAGCCGTTTTGAATTCTTTTTGCGTTGATTCTTTATCTTTCGTAATTGGAAGCCCTGTTTCAATCTTCTTGAATTTAGTTCCATGTACTTCGTGCGTTCCAGACATTGACATTTCATCCAAACCTCCATAACCCCCACTTCTCTTACCTTTGATTTCCCAATCTGCACTCGTTACTACAAGATAAACAAGACATAAAAACTTGCCGTTTGGGAACTTACATATGCCCCTCCGACGATGGGTCCAGTAAAAGAGCTATGACTTCTAATTTACCGACAAAGCATGTTTACTTTATAAGTATTACAAGACTAAACAGAGTGTATTAAACTGTATTTTTTATTACTTTTGGAACATACACCGCTTTTCACGGAATAACACGTACGTGTTGCATTAAAAATTCCATGATAATCGCCGTACGAACTCATCTACGGATGATTCTAAATTCAAAATTGTTCCATAACATGTTTAAATGTTTAATACTGCTTTAAGCCAGTGCTAGGGAACGTGGACGTTAGTTTGAACTTGACAGTACCGTCAATGAACGGGCTCAATCCAACAGAACCTGAAACATTTTCAATTGTGCCATTTTTGACGTTCTCTACGGATTCTATTTCTCATTATTTTGTTTACCCTCGGTATTCAAATTATTTATAAAAGAAACAATAAAAAAAATAAAATCAGACATAATATTAAAAATTCTATTTTGACATCTAAGTTCGACGTTAACTTTTTAAACTCTCGTCTTGGCGTTTGCAAGTAGTAATATGTTGTCTAAATATAACACAAAAGTGTCATCCTTGAATGACAGAATTGATGACAGGTCACCACCACTTATACTCAATTATGAAAAGTTCATATTATGAATTAAGACTTATATGTTTTGACGCACATGTAAAAGTATGATATTGACCTTTTAGCTGAAGATTCAACTCTAGCATGTTGTCATCATGTTTAACATACGTTTGCATAGCTATCTTAAAACCCGTTCAGGAATGAAAGGATTGTTCACTGAACACGACCAGCAATGCAATTTAAAGAACATTACCTTGAATTTTAAGCTAAAAACATGTATCTATTGCTTACGCATCTACAAATATATCACAAAATAACAAAGTTATGACAGAATTGTTGGTCGGACATGACTTTAAATGCATTTAAATAAAACATTGACACAATGGATTTAGATGTGCAAGAGTATACTTGACCTTTAGACTGGAGACCACCGTATTGTTGCGAGCGTAACATCATCATTAGATTCAACTTATTTATTTAAAAATATTGTTTTCAAAAACATCCATCTATGCATTTTTATGAACATACCTCTTGTAATTACCAACTGAGACCTCGAAATTTTAAACAAAACAAGAGACATTTTCTATAAGACGTTCTCATCCCTTTGTTTTAAAAGATATATGTACTAACTAGAGAATACAGTTCTATTGCACGGATACTGCATGTACGTAGAGTCAGAAACATCTAAGCTAGTTTTAATTTTTATAATTTGTTTTTGCTTATATAGATTCTAAACAACCTTCAAGTATCATACAATTATCGTCCGTAAAAGTATGCATTTACCTTCTTTCTGTAAGTTATCCCAGTAATCGTTGTCATCAAAACATGTCGCCTGTGAAGCCAAAGCTTCATTCTTTTGACAAGCTCCTGTAACAGTAACATCTGAAAACAAAGCAGTGTTTCAAAATGAACAAGCAAATTCGTTGAATTTATATCCCCCGCCGAGTACTGGTTATTATTAACACAACAACTGAAAACATAAGGCTTTATTTATATATTAATCATGGCATAAACAGTAATATTCTTTGAACTTGATAAATATTCAGGGCAATAACAGAGCCATAATTTTGTGTTAAATAGTAAAATCTGGAAATGCCAATGAGATGTATGCATACTACATAACTAATCAAGGACCATAAATCTGAGTTATAAGTATCTGACTCGAACAAGGCACATCTCCTCTTAGTATCCCATACAGTTTCATTGAATTCCAGCCAGTAGTAGCAGAGAAGTAGCGAGGAAACAAATATTTTTTCTATATGGATACTTCATAACTAATAAAGGGCCATAACTCTGAGTTAAAGTGTCTGACCGGAACAAGCCGACGATATGCGCATCTCCTCTTGGTATTGAAGGTTCCCATAAAGTTTTGTTGAATTCCTGCCAGTAGTTGCAGAGAAGTAGCGCGGAAACAATTTTTGCTCTATATGCATACTGCTTAACTAATCAAGGGCCATAACTCTGATTTAAAAGTGTCTGACCGTAACAAGGCGACGTTATGTGCATTTCCTCTTGGTATTTAAGGTTGCCATAAGTTTCATTGAATTCTAGTCAGTAGTTGCAGAGAAGTAGCACGAATTTTGCTCTATTTATAATGCAGAATGCAAAACTAATTAAGGGCCATAACTCTGAGTTAAAAGGTCTGACTGGTACAAGCTGACTATATGCGCATCATCTCTTGATATTGATGATTACCATAAATTTTCATTGAATTCCAGCCAGTAGTGGCAGAGAACTAGTGCGGAAACGATTTTCACTCTATATGCATACTACATAACTAATCAAGGGCCATAACTCTGAGTTAAAGTGTCTGACAGGAACAAGCCGACAATATGCGCATCTCCTCTTGATATTGATGATTCCCATAAAGTTTCGTTGAATTCCAGCCAGTAGTTGCAGAGAACTACTCCGGAAACGAAATTCGGACGGACGGATGGACGGACGGACAACGCCAAAACTATATCCCCCTCCCGATTCTATCGGCGGGGATAATTAAATTGAAACAGCATATCCACAAAATAGAAGTAGATCACAATTGTCAAATAGCTATAGGAACATCCAAACAATTGAATTATTCAAAGATAAAACTCTCCAATAATAGTTTTTAAGGATTAGAAAACTTGATGTTAATGGACATATTTCGATCACATTATAAATCAGTAAAATATTACTCAGTTAAAGCTTTCTAAAACTCATGTTCTGAAAAAAAAAATCTATATTTTCCAGTTAACTGATTAAAACTTGCGAAATTTTGTTAGGTACATGTAGTTTATATAAAGTTTTTTTTTAAATTTCAAATAGCTTTGCAATACCTGGTACTTCCTGTCTATCAGGTAAATAGTTTTCAGGTATCCCCTTGATAACTGCAGCGTAATCTAATCGTTTTTGTCTTGTGTTATGGCTATCATCCTTTCTTTCTGATGAAGATATATTAAAGTTTAGTACATTTTTAGAATTCACATTAAATGTAGTAAGTATCAATATAACATTTACATGCATTTGCAAACAAAACATGTTTTTGGAGCCCGAACAAGTGCTTTAACCAAACAAATAGATTATCACCGTTCTAACTTCACTATCGTGTACAATGGTTCACAATAGAGTGATCAACACATTGCGCTTATTTTTGATAAATCCATCTTAAATTGGGGCAACACCAAAGAGTTGTAACATGAGTTTATATTTCCGGGCCAGCTATTGTACCTTTCGGTTCTTTCTTGAACTTAAGAGTATGAATACGTAATGTGATATGTTATTATTTTGATACTAAACATGACCAAATCAATTAACTTGCAAAATTGAATTATATTTATCAATGTAAATTGTTGATCAAATGCAGTTAGGTTATACCATGTGTTATTTATTGTATGTTATAGGCAAACATTCTGTGATTACTTATTATACTTTGACAATTTTTCTGACAAGAAGATTAAACATGATAGGAATAAATTGTCCCGCGTTATAACATTTTCTTTTTATGTATGCATTTTGATATAATGGCGTTCAAAGATTTATTTAAATTAATGTTTTCATTTGTGAATCAAAATACTTACTTTCTCTTTCACCGGGTACATCTTTCACATTAATGTTACGTCTGTCAGAATAGCTTGTGTTCTCTACACTGGAAGTGTCATGCACAAGTTCAGGAAACTGTGACATCGAAATGAGCGGCTTGGCATCTTAAATACATGTATACACGAATATGCAAGAATTTAACTAAATCTTATGTATGAAAATATTACAAAATATTACAAAATATTACAAAAATCGTTTTTAATGCTTTAAAATCGACCGATTATCAAAGTTTACTTCAAAATCATACTCCATTGCAAAAATATCATATCATATCATAGAGTGGTAACTTTGGTTGTATTCTATGTGAATTACTATTGAGATTGATTAACTGTTGCCGTTGAAAATATCCTAGATTTGATACATAAACCATTTTCAATAATTTTCAAAAATGCAACACTAAAATAAAACACTCTCGAAAGAATAACAAAAGGGTAATTTACTTCACAGCGCTCACCTGATATTTTTGTAAAAGCAGTAAAACCCGGTGTTTATTACAAGAGTGTGAAGATGTTGGTCACTAGACCATACTTGATACAAAATATACTTTTTTAAATTTTCACTTTATGTATGGTCCTAATTTCATAGCTGTACATCAAAAACAAAACTTTAGGTCACTAGGTCAACATTTAGGTCATCACATTTCAAGTCTACACCTGGAACTGTGCATATGGTCAATATTTCATAGCTTTATGTAAATAAAGGAATAAAGTCCAAATCTAGATTAACTGATATCAAAGTTCAATTTTACATCTAAACTTTGCACATTGTTCAAACTTCCAAGCTGTACATTAAAGGACAAAAAATTGGTCAAAATCTAGACAAACTCATTTCAAAGTTCAATTTTTATCTGAAACTGTGTACATTGTTCCAATTTTATAGCTGTTTATCAAATAATAAAAAGGTACAACACAGAGTTCCCTTTGGGGATGAAAAATTTGACCCCAAGGTTTACTTAAACAATCATGATACAAGTCCAACAGACAATGTTTTATGTCAAATGTCTAAATCTAGCTCTCTACCTGTCTTCTTTTTTAGTTGTTTGGTTAATGAAACAAAAACTAATGACCCCACGGTTTTATATTAGCACTAGGGTCATAGTTTTGCACAATCTTTGAATTTAAACAAACTCGGTGGAGGTCCACTACACAATGTTTCGTGCAAAATATCTAACCTCCAGCCATTTCCAAAAGAAATTAAAATTGTTTATAAAGTATATGAATATTTCGGAAATATATGACCTAGGTGCAGACTAATTTTAACACCAGGACTTCGGACGGAGGGGATCACAATAGCAAACCATTAGAACGTGTTGTTTTGTTCAGATTGCCGAAAAATGTACCATTTTCTTGTCGTTTTAAACTATAGGGTTCCTGCTGAACATCCAGAGGTGTAGTAACAGTTCTGGATTTAAGACTTCGCTGCTCCTCTAATAAACCGGCGGATATACCGTAATTTGTCTTCTGCGATTTATATTCGGTTTGTTGTCTGGGACTCGTTGTTAGTTTTCCTACAATTTTAGAAAGAATGTGTAGTATGATAAAACAATAACGGCATTGTCTAAATTATAATGCAAGTTAAATGCATTATAATTTTAATACTGTCAAATAATTAAAACAAACGTGCATTTCAATTATAGATGTACTGCCATTAAGAATCTAAACTATAAACAAGAGTATTTATGAATACTGAGACCCACGTTTACCTTAACTGAAACATTTTCTGTACAAATGTTCGGTGGGGACATGACAACTGTATAAATTCCCGATTTCATCTGCATGAAATCACAACTTCACCTTCATGAATACACATTAACAAGATTCGGAATTCGCGAATTCACGATTTCAACTTTATGATTTCACGATTTCAATTTCACAAATTCATGATTTCAACTTCATGAACTCACAACTTAAACTTAAGAACTTAAGCTTCGCGAATGTACGTTTCAAACAGCATGATTTCAGCTTCGTGAATTCACGAATTCATAATTTCAACTTCATAAATGGACGTATTCAACTTCATGAATATAATGACATGAATTCATATTTTGAAATACACGATTGTAACTTTACGAAATCAAGAATTTATCTTCACGAAGTTGAAATCAAGTATTCCAAAATGTACTTGCCAACGGACGCATGTCATGCAAACTTAAGGCTGTCGGTAGAACATTCAAATGAAAATAAAACAAAACATAAGTAAAGGTAAGTTTGATATACCCCTGTAGTTGTTCACATAACAATAATGAATTCACTGATTTACATAATAATGTTTGCAATTTCTTTATTATTATTCTTTGCTCAGCCTTTATACTTAGCAAACTCCTTCAAACAGCGTGCTTTATTCGATTTTGATATGGTATACAGCCGTATGGTAATTATTTTTAAAAAATCGTACCGTTATTTGACGGTTTATTTTTAGAAGATTGTAGATGGAAGTCTTTTAATTTAGTCCCATCTCCATTTCTACGAGTTCTTTTATCAGAATCGTATGATTTCTTTGGGGAAATACGTTCTAGTAACGTGGCCTTGTCTTGATCTCCTGAAATTTAAAAGAAATAATGCCTTGTACAATTATAAAGCAATATAAATTTTATTTGACAAAATAAAGCATTTTAAAAATAAATGTCCCCCAAAAAGAAAAGAAAAAATAAACTAATATAGCCTCCTGTTGAAACGCTTGACAACAATTTCAAGAAATTGAAGTAATAGACGATTTCCAAGCTCATACAGTTTGTAAATTGCTCTATAATCAACAACGTAAAGCTTTAAAAGCCTTTAGTTATATATTATCGTATTAAACTTCTGCAAAACAAAAACGTAATCGGTATTCAGCTGGCGTTTAGTAATGAAATAAATTAAAATGATCAAAATCTAAAATTGAGTCCATAAATAAGTTGATGTGCATTGAGCAAACATTATTTTGTAGAGATAATTGCTTCTTTACCCCTTTTAGAACACTTTGCAGTGTCTTTTATAACTATGAATAATTTACAAACCATCCTGTGGCACCAATTTACGTTGTAGTTGGTCTGTCTCTCTGAACTTTGAAACAATTACAGCATTTTGTTCGCGTGATTTCTCTCCATTTTCGCTTTTTCCATTGCTAGCGATACTTTCAGCTATATTTTTAGAAAAAACATTAACTGTTACTATTTTGTTGAAATAAAATGTAAAGTTAAATGTTCTGTACAAAAATACCCTTTTTGTCTTTCAATCTTACATTCTTACAAATGAGCAATCATATACCTACTTGATCCATGAAATGAACAATGTTAAAAGATTTAAATTAAAAAAACATTTAAAATTAGATTCGTGACCATGAACATGACATAGAAATATACATCGTGTGCAATTCACTCATCCTTTATGAAATCTATCAACGTAGCAGAAACGTTCATGTTGATATCTCAAGTACTTATGAGATATGCACTGGGCAAATAAAAATGAAAAAGGTGGTCATGACGGCCCTGGATCGCACACCTGATTTAGAAAAGGTCATATGTTGACGTCAATGAGTTATTATTAAGGTTTGTCAACTTTTACCGAAGCTGGCATCGGATTTTCTAAAAAAAAGACACACAATGGAATGTGTTTTACTAAGCAGGTCTATATAAACTAAGTGCCTCGCGTGATAAGAATCAAATTTGACCTCAGTTGGGTGTTTCCCTTATGTGCGAACGGAGTTCGACATTTAAGGTTTATTGTACGATATTTAATTAGCATTTGAAGCAAATAGTCAAATGAACATAGCATCTCTCTTAAGTACTAGTATTATCTGCTGTTTGAAATACATAATTTTAATATCTGAATCAATTTATGAATTGGGCGGTACGCTGGTTTGGATGGATGTCTGATGTTCTAACCTGAGGCTGAGCCAAATGTCTGTCAGGAATTGGCTCGGCGACCAGATAAAAACTTTTTATGTTTAGGAAATAGAAAATGTCGCTAAAATGGAGCTAGATATAGAGTGTATACTGTACGAGGATTGATAAAAAAGTCCTTGGCTCGATGTACTTCCGGTAGTCAGAGAACTCAACTAATGGTCTTAGTTTTCAATATAAACGCCCTCTACATCAATGCAGTTTGCCCACCTGTGCTCCAGCTTGTTTAATCCTTCGAACTCTCTATTTTGGTCCTTAAAGAACTCATTGACCGCCTCCACGACACCTTTATTGCTTACAAAACCGCTACCTCGAAGCTTGGTTTTCAGATTCGGAAAAAGGTAGTAGTCAGAGGGGGCCAAGTCCGGAGAATATGGGGTATGGGGAAGAATTTCAAAGTCGCAGTCACTTTCGGCAGCCATCGCAACTTGGGATGTGTGAGTTGGTGCATTTTCGGGCAGGAGCAGAACGCCTTGAGTCAGTTGGCTCATCATTTGATGCGCAATTTCTTGACGCAGACGTCTCAATTCGTCTGCATAGTACGTACCATTTATGGTATGACTTGCTCAAGATAGTCAATCATTATCATCCCCTGACTATCCCAAAAAATTAAAGCCATCATCTTCCCTGCTGATGGCACCCTCTTGAATTTCTTCTGAGGGGGTGAGCCAGGGTGCTTCAACCGCATGCTCTGTTTTTTGGATTCTAGATCGAAGTGATGTATTCATGCTTTATCCTGAATTACGATCCGGTATATAAAATCAGATTCATCATCGTTGCGAGACAAAGAGAAATTGAAATGTCAAGCTTGGTCCGTTTCTGGTCGTCAGTCAACTGTTTGCTGTCTGGGACCCCTCTAGCGGAAACTTTTGACATGCCATAGACATCAGTCAGAATTGCGTGAACTGAACCAAAGCTTATCGGCAGTGTCAACTGGTTTTTTACCTCAGGTTATCCATATTCAAATTTGAGCTAGAAATCATTTTAACAACCCTTGTAGACAAATTTTCAAGAAACTTTAACTGAAAATATTGCATTCATAATGTTAACAGTGTATTTACTATGATTCGGCTCTTTGGCCTAAATTCGAACTTCAGCTAGAAATTATCTATTTTTAAAGTGAACACATTTCTGACAAATTTCAAGGAAAGTAAAACTAAACATGTTTCTTCCAGAGTGCTTAAAATGTTAATCTATGTTTTTCTATGTTATGACCTCATTTGTTTTTGACCCAGATGACCTATATTCAAACGTAATCGAATTATCATCAAAAAAGCAACCTTTCTCACAAAATTTCAGGTTTTTGTTTTGGCTGAAAATGCTTCATCTAGACTGCCAAAACTAATTGTTCGTATATAGACTCTGTTTCCTACCTTTTGAGCCAAATTGACCAACACACAATCATACGCTAGAAATCATCAAAAAGAACCAGTGATACCAATTTCAAGAATATTTGGGTTGTAAATGTAAACTCTAGGGTGTATTTTTTTCATATTAGGGCTGTGTGACCTAGTTTTTGATCTTATTTAAGACATTTTCTAACTTGGGCTAGAACGCACTGCATCAACTAGGCTGAAAACGTTACCCCTAGGGAGCTTAGGAGGTGTTTTGTATTTGAACTGTTTGACCAAGTTTTTGACCCTAGATAACCATTATTCGAACTCGAGCTAGAAATCATTAAAACATTAAGTTATGACCAATTCCCAGGATAGTTAGTCTGAAAATGTTACCTCTACAATGTTAAGAAGTTTTTTACAACATTCGGGTTATGTGTTTTTCCCAAGATGACAAATAGATACATGAGATAGAAATCATCTTAACAACATTTGTGACCTTTGTGAAGGACAGTTAGCCTGGAAAAATATATGTAGAACGTTATCAAGGTTTTTCGATATTTGGGAACGACTTAGTTTTTGACCCAAGGATACCGATATTCGAAATTGAACTAGAAACTATGTAAATAAAACCTCTCCGACCAATTTCAAAGACATTTGGACCGACCAAGTAGCCTGGATAGTGTCAACAAGGTGTTTCCATATTTGGTCTGTGCGACTTAGTATTTGACCCCAGGTAACCCAGATTTGAATTTCAGCTTAAACTCATAAAAGCAACTTTTCTGGCCAAATTCCAGTATATTTGAATCGAAAGAGTAGCCTCTGGATTGTTTACAAGATTTTCCTATTATTGGCTCCTTTGATCTAGGTTTTCATCTGAGGTGACCCATGTTCGAACTTGTCCGAGCAGGCCAGGCACTGGTTCAACACCATCTTTACCAAGCAAAAACATGACAACTAACGTGTTAACGAACACAATTTGGGCGGACGACAGAAGACGGACATTCAACAACCCTTTAAGCTCACCGTAAGCATGACAAAAGATTTGGCAACGAATCAAATATAGCAAGCGAAACAAAATTCAGTGAGTGGCTATTAACTGACTCCATTTTCATAATAGATTTAAAATGAATAAGCATGGAATTCTTACAATTTTCAACGACATCAAACGCTCTAAGTCCACTCCATGTAAATGCTAGCACAAACGTTACTTGTCGATTCCGTAGCTGAGCGGAGGGATAAAACGCTTTTATCAAGAAAACGTGAGTTGCTTCAGGATATGTCACCTTAAATATTTGTACATATATTATAAATGATAAATCCGGAGTCTATTTCATGTTTTACTATGTACAGGAAACAGTTAACATATGTAAAATTTGAGATTGAATACCATATAATATATGGTCTCACTATATATACATTTAACTTTATTGACCTATCAGACATTCAACCATTTTAAATAGTGTATAAGAAATAACGTTTGTGTAAAATCTTAGACTGTAGCGACTATACATATGATTACTTAAATATGATGAATGTTGACTATTTATAGATGAAGATAAAAAAAATCAAAACTCAACGTTCAGTAAATACATGTAGTAATTATTTTGAATAGCCATTTCCATCACGCCAGTCACACTAGTTTTCATACAAAATAGAAAGTTATCCAAAAAATATATATATCTTTGAAAAAATGTTATCATTTTTTATAAAGGCATGATTTACCTTATGACTAATTGTGGTTCCAGAGTCGTCTAGAGTACCTGTCAGTCTCTGAAGTCGTTCAGCCACAAACGGCTCACGCCAAAAGTAATCCTTGTACACATGCATACGCGATCTTCCTTCCTCTTTTTCTTTCTTTTCCCGCCACTCCATTTCGATTTCAAACAAGTCTATCACACCGAGATGATCCTTACTCAATGCGAAATAGGTTTTACCTTTATTTGCCTTCATTTGATCTCTGGTTTTAATATAGTTATTGCTTAAATATCTTTCTTCCCAAAGGTCCATCATATTAATGTACGTAGCTGGCTTCGACAGAGAGTCAAATTTAAACCTTTCCTTTAATGGCCAATGGAATATTGCATAAAACAAAAATGCTTCTAGGTACGGTCTCTTTTCCTCCCTTTGCGTATCAAGAAGTTTTGTTGAATAGCTGAGAAGCTGTCGATATTCTTTGTTTTCTATGTTTAAAACATCAGTTAGAAGTTTTATGAAGCTGTAACTAATGTAGAACAGAAGGTCTCTAGTGTCGGCAAATTCAACTGGGCAAGTTTCGAGTTTCATTTTTGCTTCCAAATATCTGTGATGTACAAGTTCTTGGTCCTGATATTTCATGGCTTTCATCAATGGTTTAAGCCCGTAACCAAATTTCAGTTGATATTTTCCACCATGACTCCTGTAAAACCTCTCGTACCTCTCCCGTAAACTGAGTAAAAGAACATCTTCCAGCGTGTAAATTGTATAGAATTTCTTTACTTGATAGTCCCTCTCTTCTACGAATCTTAATGCATCGGCTGCGTGTATTTGTCTTTTTCCACCTATGACAATGTCATTTATATAACAGTTTTCATTAAGAACTGCTAAACAAGAGCTATTTACGTCTACCCCTGGATTAGTTAAAATTTCAAGTAAGTCGTCATTGTTTGTGAAGCATTCAAATGTTTCAAACATCTCTAACAGTCCAACTAGTGTTCTAACTTCCATATGGTAGCAACTTAAATTGCACCTGTCTCGTTCGTACTCTTGGGTTATTATTTGACCTTCAGCAAAGATATCTAAAGCTTTAAAAGCCAATGTAATCACTTCTTTGGCAACCTCATTACTCATTTTCTGGGCATGTGGGCAATTTATTTCTTTTAAATACTCCATGTTGGTTTTAAAAACTTGACCTTTAGTGTCAAGCAAATATGAGTTATTTTGGCACATTTCAATAGATTCGGAAATTGCTTGTTCAGCATCTCTGAAATTCTTTGTGTGGATAATGTGGAACCTGGCAAGTTGTTGACCAACAAAGGCGTCACCAGTTATTTTGAAACACTTGTCCATGACTCTTACAACACTGTCTATCCCGTCGTTTACATTGACTGCATTTTTTCTATCAAGAAATGCAACTATTAATCGCGAGAATTTATCTTTTATTCCGTCTCTTCCTTTTCCGCTATCTTCTCTTGTTTTGAATAGAGAGCAAACAACCTCTACAAAACGCTTTGAATCAGTATTGTCTTTTGAACTTGGCTTCTCTATTTGCCCAATTATAAACAATACTATATCTTCAAGTGTCAAATTTTGCCTTTCCTGTATATGACGCAAAATAATTTCTGCCAGAGGCTGAGATATGATACGCAAGCCCCTTTTTTTCAGCTCATATCCCGATCTGCATACAAATAAACTCGGTGATTTAGAGTTCAAAATCTCAGGGGGTCGTCCAAGTCTTCCACGATTTTGTCGAAAACCAAACAGTTTGCCTTGTCCGATTTTTGTCGGCTTTGGGTATATAGGGATCCCAACAATGGAGTCAAATATACTGTGAGGGACAAGCGTCCCGATTTCATACGTACAGACTAATGACAAAATTTTGAGAATATCTATCTCATTCGAAGTAACTTCATCCATAATTTTGTCAACTGTTGATCGTATGTATTCTTTATCAAAAGAATTTCTCATGACGTTGAAAGCTATAAGAGTATTAACGTCAACATATTCTGATTTCTCCAATTCTTTATATTTATTTTCAAACCATATTTTTTCTCTTTCTGTTAATCGATGTTTTAAACAGTTCTTTACTTCAACCCGTCCATCTGCAGCTTCTTCAACAAGATCGTCTGTCAGAGAAACTCTGGATACATTAATGACAATACCAAATAGTTCCCCTGGTGATGCTGTTTTGTACGCAAGTTGTTGTAAACCTTTCTGGAAGAACATATTACCATCTGGTTCATCGTCAAGAAGAATAATCACAGGTCTTGGTTTATTGTCGTTGTACTGTCGAAACTCTTCTATTTCCCTAACAGTGTTTTCGGTTATTTGCTTTATAACACAGCATCTTAAGGGTTTGCTTGTGCAACGGGACTGACTAAAATACCATATCAAATGCCTTCCCAATATACTTCCCCCAGCCCCAGGCTCGTGTCTTAATTCCACTGATTCAACTAATGTCACATCGTGCATTCTTGTCAATTTATTTTCAATTAAAGATCTAAGTTTACTAAAAAGGTCTCTTTCTCCGTGATGCGCATAATAAAAATTCCACCAGGAAGCCTTTTTTCCTTGATAAAATCTAGTTTCTTCTTCCTTTTGTTTTGCTTTTCTTTCATTCTCTTTCATCTGTTTTCCTTCATTAATGCATTCCTCCATGCTTAGTATGTCAAGATCTTTCCAGCGTTCTCTTTCCTTGTGCGACACTTCGTCAAATGTTCCGCAAGAATTTGGAATTTTGCATACAGAGTCAGAACTTTCCTTGAATGTCTTCCGAAAAACCTTTGCAATGTCAAACCAAGTTAGACCAGAAAATAAATATTTGCATACCTTCTCATTTCCAATCTGACGTGATATTTCATTGTCGAATGGTTCAAGAACATCAGCGGTCTCGCCGATAATAATACACTGGTGTTTGAAGTTGCGTATAAAAGCCTCACGTGCAAACGTAACTATTGGGTTTTTACATCCGTATGCTTCGAAAGCAAGAAAAATAATTTTTGCTCGTTGGTAGGGTATTTTTGACTTCATGTAACGTAAAATATTTTCCAAGGGGATAAGTCTTTTGTCTGTCCAGGAATCTGCATCAAGCACTTCAATTCCGGTGTCATCATTCCCATTGCAGTATATCCAAGGCTTTTCCTTGTCTGAAAATGAAACATCTTTTTCATCGGTTTCGAAGTCTGAAAGTGTTTTGACAGTGTTCACTGTATATAAAGGATTACCTTCTTCCATTATCTTGCGCAAGTGTGTTGAAGAACCAAAGTCGAACACTGCGCATGAATTTTGGAAGGCATCTTGTAAGCCAGGGTAGTTCACAAAATTATCTGAATTCATATTCCCAGAACATATTATTGGAAAGAAAACGTCTGTGATGTAATCGGCTCCTCTTGTTAGTTCATACATCAGAAAAGAAGCACGATCGGATTCAGAGCGATATCTACGCAATGTCTCGTCGTCTAATAACTGCCTTTCTCTCAGAGAGTCTTGCAAATTTTTCTTCACGGCTTCCACTCTGGAGTTTTCTACTTGGACAATGTCACAACTTGGTCCTTCTTCGTACAGGAAGAATAATTCTGTTTGTGGTCCGCTTGGTGGGAACATAACAGTGTAGAATGAATCAGATAAATGTTTATGGAATGGCACAATGTCTATTTCAACTACCAGTAGACTTTCGTGCTTTACCTTTATTAGCTGTGCTGGTCTTGTGCACCTTATTATATTTCTTCGAAGTGCGGTACTAAGGTGTTAAAAACACCTATGAATACCAGTTAGAACAACATTATCTATAGACCGTAGCAGTGATGTATTGTTCACGCCAACAATTTTACCTGTATTCCGTCCTGTTCTTTCTATTCCAAAATGGATAGTCCCATTTTTTCTAGCATTTAGACAAGCGGAAATAAATCGCACAGTATTCTTTACGACCACATATTTTGATAAAACCGCAAACCCTGTATAAACAAACTCGTGTGCAGGGGCATTTTGGTCTCCACCTGATGGATAACTTACCTCCAAATTAAGATATTCTGTGTGAAGTGGCTTGTCGAACCTTCTAAGTTCACATTTATCTTCCGACGCCATTTTATTATTTTTCAACCGGCTTTTCAGTTTACTTTGAAGAAGCTGCAGCTGTTTCTTTATACCGAACTTCAGTGGTTTGGATTTTAAATAATAACCAAAAAGCTCATTCATATCTTCATCAGTCAGTTCAAGGAAAAGCTCAAGTTGCACCGCTTCGTCTTTGATAGCTTTAGTAATATTTTCACAGACAGCCATACTAATAGACCGAAAATGATTACCTATATACTCTGCGTACTCTTCAAACGACATTGCAGCAACACTGGCATATTCTGTAAAAGTAAAAGTTTGCTATTGACCTAGAAGTATCACACATTGTAACAATAAGGACACAACCTAACTGAAGACATGTTGCGTTTATTGAGCGCCACCTTCCCTTGTTGATCTAGTTTATCATATTTTGGGGTAAGTTTTTTTTAAACGGTGCTAAGATTTAGTAATATTCGCCCTCAGTTAGAAATTAAACATTTAAATTCATGCTAACTAAGTTCTTCTAAGTCTATTATGGTGCATCTTATTTAAATTATGGTTTGTCATTAAAAAGATAGGATTATCGGCAAACAAAAAGACTTTTTCAAAACATACTATGAAACTATATAAAATTTATGAAGCCCTTTTTAATTAACAATGAAAATCTTGACTGGATTTATCATATATAAGTCTTTAACTTATAATATATTAGTCATTAAAGGAATCGATTGTTATGGTATTAAAATATATTAACATACCATGAAAGTTTTTGAAAGAGTTTTGATCTCTTACTACAAACAAGAGGGCCATATATCGCTCATCTGATTAAAATGACAAGGAATAAGTAATATTACAAACAATAAATGAAATGAATTTATCTTCATCTGATATTACAAAATTCATTTTTGTTTTTAAAACGAAAATCGAGAGGTAAGCACTGACATCGAAGATCGGAATTCAGTTAAAAGCGAATTTCCAGCTAGCGTTTAACCTCGACCTTGCTAGACGATCAAAATTCAAGTAAACCAAATCTGAATTTTGAGCCAGGGTTTTATTTTGAGCTATCTCGAATATAATAATTACGTATGTTTCAATCACGTTAACTAAACAAGATACAACGTGATCATAACTTAATAACAATAACTAAATTATTCATATTTTCTTAGTATGTGAAGTTCTCTTTGGATTATATTTGTATGTGAACTTATGTTTCCTTATGGTATGTAATTTTAAAACATTGAAAGTAGGCAGAAAATGAAACGAGAGAGTTCAGCGCGTCATAATTTGTGGTAACTCTGTCAGAATGCATCAAGATTAATTCTCTTGTTGTTTGTATTATTTTTAAATTGACTAGTCAAAAAGCCACGTGATAACGTATATTTCAATCAAAATGAATTACTAATAAAGAGTAAAATAACGTTTTTTAATAGCAGACATTTATTAATTGTATGAAATATATGTATTATTAAGCATGCATTGTTTCAATGAATTTTCGCTCGCACGTGTTTTAATGTATTATTTTCTATGCATATTGCGACATTTGGTCATGTATAATACAATAAGGTTTTAACTGCCACATATAATTTACACCATTGCTCATGCATGTACCCATCACTAATTTTTCACGTCTCGTTTATTTTGGAACCCGTATTTTTAAAACATTTACAAAGATGTAAAAAAGTAGATGAAGACAGTAACGTTATATGTTATAATTTGGGGCATTTATCGTAGATAAAAGATACGATTGAACAATAAAATCCCTTTTAAACACAGAGTGACAGTCATCATACTTATTTCAATTTCACCTCAAGTAACAACTTCGTATAAGAGCTCTCTAGATAAACAACGATGGTGTCTTATATTGAGAATGAGCTGTTCTTAAATTCCAGATATGCACGTGTATAATATGCTTACCATCAAGCATGTCCTTTGGTTTGCTTTCAGTACCGCATGTTTTTATCAATGATACGTCGTAAAACCTACGAAATAGATAACATTCGATTTAGAAAAGGATTAAGAAATAATAATAATAATAATAACAATTATAAACTATAAACATGGACTGTCTCATAAAAACTGTTCTGTGCTCCATCCAGCACCCCACAAAGGTGGAACCATTTTACCAAAGAAAAATGACCTATATATTGTCTGTATAGGTCCAATAGACAATGCTGCATATCAAATATCTAAGCTGCAGGCACAATATTGAAACACTTTTTAAATTATATATCCTTCATAGAGGGCCACCTAAGAATCATTCCTGTGAATTTTAGTCATTCTCCTTCAAGTGGTTTAGGGGGATATTGTTAACAGAAATGGTTGATAGCGACGAACAATGATGGACAGACTGCCAACCAAAGCAAACCTCCAAGCACTTTTTGCTCAGATTAGCTAAAAACACAAATACCTTCCATCTTTTTCACTGCAGCCAAATGTGGTTTTCATCATGTCATTTAGAAACGAAAATGGTATTTCATTGTCCATTACTTCTTCTACATAACTGTGAACAGCCTCACATGTTTCATTGCAATTTTCGCCAGCTTTTATGCAACGTTGTAGCACGTCTCTTAGCTTTGCCTTCTCTATTTTCTCTATTTCGTCAACTTAAATATGATCAAAGTGAGATATGAGGTAATCGTGAAATCATAATTATTCACAATTAATTACAGTAAATTAAAATTTATCAAATTATTCAAATACTTTCAAAAGTGATTATATTTATAAAAGAAAAAATGTGTACTCATCGGTTACATTTCACTTTAAAATTGATAGGAAAAGCACTTTGCAATATTTAATTGCCTTCCTTATGTGACTATAATACTGCAATGTTTTACTTGTTTCAGCAAACATTATCTTTTACTGATCTCAAGCATTGTGAAAATCTGAACTATTTCAATATAAGTAATAATTAACTAACAGAAGATACTAAGTCCGGACTGGATTATACACTCTTGTGGAATTTCTGATAAACCATAAATGCTAATGAAATGAGAAGCACAAACTTTGGTGTGAACTGGATTATACCCTCTTGTGGAATTTCGAATATACCATCAAGGCTAATGGAATGTGAAATACAAACTTTGGTGTTTTTACATATTAAGTTCGAACTTCCTGTCATATTAAAATGATAATATCAAGAGTAATATTCATCGTTATAATTCTACAGAACTGAGAAAGACTTGCCAGTGTCGGCTCCATCTGTATTTTTCCCTTCAATCAGATCAGCCAGATTTTCGCATTGTCTCCCTTGTTCACGAAGAAGTTTACAACACTGCAATATTTCAAATTTGCTCCCTTCTTTGATCAGAAATTCGATGAATGTTTCTGCTGTGTTACATTCATACTCTGAACCTTTGATCTTTTGTAATATCTCCTCTTTGAAAAGTTTCAGTCTACCTAACTCTGTTAACATTTTTGACATGTCAATACCACGTGATATCTGCTTTGACCAACGTGAAAGGTTGAATTTCAGAATTGCTTCTCTAAATGTATTATCACCAACTGTAAATAAACAGCAAGTACAACTGGTTGAACAAGGAAACACAGAAAGGAGCGTACCACATCAAATAAAGGGAAGAGCAATATTTTTCGTTGTTCCACATATTTAAGATTGTATCGGGGTAGTAATTTTAAAATCATACATCCGTAACATTGCTTAAAGAGTGAAATTAATAAGTTTAACAAAACATCAAAACGACAAACAAAAAATAACAGCTATGCAGTGGACGCGCAAATCCGATATTCTTAGGCCTAACATGCCATTAAATATTTATAGAGCTAACTAGTTTGAACTTAAATAAGAGCCAGACATTAAATTTTTAAAAAAGAATTATAAATTATTTTGTTCAACACAAAGATATTAATAAAAAGTGGTAGATAGTTTTAGACGTCAGGAAAAAAATACATACCATCGCCATGTTCTTCCATGTATGTAAGAGTTATTTGAAGATGTTCAGTATTGAATTTTAGAACTTCGAGCTTGGAATGAATTCTTACACAGGCCCTTTGCTTTAATTCATCGATACAGGCTTTCAAATTATTTTGGACTGTCGCTTTTAGGGATTTTGAGAGATCCATCATATCATTACTTGTTTCTACAAATAATGTGGTGTCATTTAATTTTCCAGAAATGTTGTGAGCCAGGGTGTTTCTATGCTCCCGAAGTTTTTCTATGTACTTTGTTTCCGCTTTTGTTACGTTGATGCAATTGTTGCATTTTGCTAAAAGTAATACAGTAAGCGTCGAAACGTCTAGATCTTTAGAGTCAGGGTTAGCAGAATAAAACAATGCCTCCTGGAATGCAGTAACATACTTTTTTCCAGTTAAATGAAATCTACATTTTTTAATGTAACTTTTTAAGTCGATCTTATTTGTCAAAAGCTTGAAGTCTAGAAACTCTCTAAGCAAATCAGTTACACATTCATACTGTAGTGCGATAGTCCGATGGAATTCATTTCGACCTTCAAGGTCTACTGTCTTTTTAGTGATATTTTTTGTCGCTGCCATTTTATAAGGAAAAGTGTGTGTCATCTGAAAAAAAAACACAGAACAGAAATAATTTTATCATATTGAACATATTAAAGAATATGCATCATAGTCTTTCAAATACATTATTTTAAGTCGATATTATTCAAAATTCAGAACAAAATAAAATCAATAGCTATTGTAACTAAAAATATCTAAAAACGTTATACCAAACATTCAGTTGTATGTGTTTAGTTTTGTTATAGTTGTAGGTATGTTTAAAACAAGATACTTATATGTCTGAAAGATGTATGCTATGGTTGCATATAGTCATATAGCAGTGTGACATTTATTGCAAAGGAATGCTAGAACGTAAGCGTAAATAATTCCTACCCTAAAAGGCACCAGAAAATAGTACAATAAAAGGTCTCTAAGAAATAAGACATTGGTGAAAATACAAACATTACAGGTTTTACCTAAAGATTAAACATCACAAAAGCCCAAAATATAACAATCATAGGTAGTGAAGAAATTGAAATATTTGGTTAAAGGAAGCAAACATAAGAATCCAAAAATAGGCGGTAACGAAAACAAGAGTAAGTAAACAAAAAAGGAAGGAAGGAATCACAACTTATCATTTTTTTCCCTTGATAACATTGATTTTTTTTAATAAAACATATAAAAAGAAAATAAAACATTGCACACGTCGTAAACTTTTATATTAAATTTTATTTATTTTTTAATTGCTGGTTTTAAGCAGTTGTAAGAACTACTTTGTGCTGAATGTTAAGTCTCGAAGCCATTTGCCGACATTATGGACGTCAGAATTGTATTGCAAGATATGCGATCATGGAAAATAGTAGCAGAATATTGAAGACATTTATATATCTGGAGTCAGTGAAGGCGTTTCCGGTTAACAACATACCAGTTGTTCTAAAGCCAATTGGTCTCTAATGGAAGGTTTGTTACACAAAAGTCATTCTTATGAGAGTATTATATTATATATATATTATATTATATTATTATATATGTGCGCTGTTCGTAAGTTTGAGATAAATGATCCGAATAATATTAAATATTTTCATATAGCAGATTATAAATTGCTCTAGATCAGATTATTATTTTAATAATATTTGAATGCCCATACTATATCAGTATGGTAATATTAAGTAACAATATCAAAATGATATATTTCGTACCATTGTACGTAGTGACAGTATCCTTATAAATATCGGTAATTAGATACACAGGTTGCCGTCAATGTGATGCGTTAATGTGACAGTACAACATATTCATTACATATTTTATAAGGTAGTCATGAGAAGATGTATTTTAAGTTCGTTACTGGACACACCATTTTATTAGATCAGCGAAGTACCCCAGATGAATTAATCATTTCAATAATCTATCCAATACAGATTGCTTTGATTTCTGTTAATTAAGTTTTTTTTCTTACTTGGTTTGCTATTATAATGCAAAAAGGCCATTAATGAACTTCTTTAACATTACACTGTCATGTCCATTTTATTTTTTTCGTACAGCTTATGATCTATTTTTCGATTTTTTTTAAAATTTCTATTCAATATGGTACTTAATATTCCAATCAGTTCAAGCAGTGCAGCCACCGTGTATATCAAGTGACACAGGAATGTACAAATAATGTAAAAGTAACGCCGAATCTGTACAACGTTATTGCTTAAACGATTGACACAGTAAGTAAACATAACCAAAATATTTTATTCTGAATGAATTAGCGCATACGGCTGCTACGGAATTATACTTTAACAAGCATAACATTTTTTTTTCAGTTTTATCACCGTGCATATCCAGTAACGCAAGAATGTGCAAATAACAGAAAAGTAACGCCGAATCTGTGCAACAGTATTGTCAAAACGAATAACACAGTAAGTAAACGAACCAAAATATTTTATTCTAAATCAAATATAAAGAAATGAATTAGCGCATACGGCTGCTACGACAATATACTTTAAGCAGCATTAATAGATTTTTCAGGAATGTGTTTACTTCCTTAGATCATTCGTGAGAAAGACAACCTGATTACCAATTTGAAGGTGACTTTTGTGTTTCATCAAATAAATATGTTCATTTAGCACATTTAAAACATTATTTTTCATAGTTTGTATACCTAAGACGTTTGTCAAACTACAAGTGTCGTATAACAATAGAAGGAAGCCGGTAAAATAAGATTTAGTTACTTTTACCGAGATAACCGCTGTTGATTCAGTGTGTCACTCACGAATTTAGCGTTACCTCGTAAAAATTGTCTCAATTACGTTTTATCTGCAAAATTAAGTGTAAATGACACGAGTAAATTGGAAAATGTCTCAGGTACACAGATTATAAAAAAAACATAAAGTAATATGTATGTTATTGTATCTAAAGATATCAACTAACTTAACAATCTCCATCAATACGCTAGTCAGGTCGTCATTTTCACGAATGATCTTGAAAAGTAAACATGTTCATGGAAATATTTTGATGAGGTTTAAAGTATAATGTCTCAGCAACCGTATGCGCTAATTGTTTTCTTCACATTTGGTGTACAATAAAAAACAAGCAATTATCATAGTATTGCAAGCAATCCATAAGTCCCCTACCGGTTAGAACCCCAGCATCATTCTGATGGGCCATTGGCCATTCAATTTTACCAGTGAATGAATGACATGAATGAACTTAAATCTTTTGAGTTCTAAGTTTGTCTATATCACAGTAATGTGTTAAGTTTCCATGCCTATTAAGGAAATTATGTTTATACAACCTTGTCATATTATTACGATGCGGGATTTTAAAGTAAATCCTATAAGGAATGAAGAAGTTGGAGTGAAAATACCAGTTTCTCGAAAAAAATCTAAGTTCAAGGGGGACATAATTCTGGAAATAGTCTTGCTAGAGTATTTAACCTTCTCAAAAATGTCGAGTGATAATAAGAAACATATATATGAAGTTTGAAGTAGATACATTAGGAAATAAAGAAGTTATTTAAAAAAGACAACATTTTTTTCCCCTAAAAAATCTAAGTTCAAGGGAGGTAATACTGATAATTTTTGTGCTAGAGTTATAAACCTTGTCACATATGATGTGGTTGATGACCAGAAACTTAAATTTAAAGTTTGAAGTAAACACCTGAAGAAATAAAGAGCATATAGTGAAAAAGCTGAAAAATTTAAATCAGAAATCTTGAAATTCAGGCTATTTGTTGCCATAGCAACCAGAATTTTCAACATAGGAAGAAAAGAAAAAGATGTGCATAATCTCCAGACTGCCATCTACCCATATTTCAAGTTTCATAAAAATATTTTCAGTACTTTTCGAGTTATCACTGGATCCAGTTTATGTGTTAAATTTGCCATATTTTCAGACTATTTGTTGCCATAGCAACCAGAATTTTCAACATAGGAAGAAAAAAAAAGACGTGCATAATCTCCATACTGCCATCTATCCATATATCAAGTTTCATAAAAATATTTTCAGTACTTTTTACGTTATCGCGGGATCCAGTTTTGTGGACGGACGGACTGACGGACTGACAGACAGACAGACAGACAGACGGACAGACAGACAGACAGACAGACAGACGGAGGGTAAACCTAAAGTCCCCTCCGGTTAAACCGGAAGGGGACTAATAATGGTTAATTTACTTATCGTGGTGCTCGTTTTATCCACTAAATTGCACACTTCTTTGTTACTTTTGAACAATACCTGCGTAATTTGCACATTCCTGCGTTACTCAGTATACATCGTGAATTTATTAAATTCTTCAGATCATTCGTGAGAAAGACAACTAATTACTATTTTAAAGATGACTTTTGTGTATCGTCAAATATATATGTACATGTAACACATTTTAAACATTATTTTTCATAGTTTGTATACCTAAGACATTTGTAAAACTACAAGTGTCGTATAACAATAGAAGGAAGCTTGGAAAATAAGAATTAGCTACTTTAAATGAGATGACCGCCGTTGCTTCAGTGCTTCATTCACGAATTCGGCGTTACCTACTCAATTACGTTTTATCTGCAAAATTAAGTGTAATATGACACGAGTAGATCAGGTAAACAGAATATAAAAAATCATTAAGTAATATGTACGTTATTGTATTTAAAGATATCAACTAAACTAAAAATCGCCCATCAATACGCTTGTCAGGTCGTCATTTTCACGAATGATCTTGTAAAATAAACATTTTACTTGAAATATTTTAGATGAGGTTTTAAGTATAATGTATTAGCAACCATATGCGTTAATTTATTTCTTCCAATTTGGTGTACAAAAAAAATTGGTCCATTTACATATCGCGGTGCTCATTTTAGCCACCAAATTGCACAAATTTTGTGTTACATTTGCATAATTCCTGCGTTATTTACATGGATATACACTGTGAGAACGATTATATTTCAGTATTTATCTTAAACCTCGCTACGCCTGTGTTATCCCTGATCGGGTTACCCACCATTCAAGTGCTTTATGATTTATTAATGGATTTACCTGTCTCTGTTTCGATAAGCGAAATCTTATTTTCTGAAAATTGAAAGTGAACCGCGTCAATGTTAAAAAATAAAGGACATGTTTTTAGAAAAAATGCGTCTTAACGCATTTTCGGAAAAATGGTTTGCTTTTTATAGTTAAAAATGGTTTGTTATATTGTTAAAATATAGCTTGTTCTATTCTTTAAAAACGATAGGTCACTGTGTTAAGAGTTAGGAGCATGTGGCCTAAGAATGATTATTAAGTTCAGTGTAACAAAAATAAAGAAAACACAATCAATTTGAATATTTTAACACACTGTTAGCCAGTTGCTTAGCATGCGTTCATTGCTCCTAAAAATACGACAGAGCCGATAACACAAAATCTCACGATAAATATACTTTTATGGGTTATCTTAATCAAGGTCCTCGATTCCATCATAAGTATTTTTAACCCACAGTGCAAGCATTTACTATTTCAAAAGTGCTCTATCAACTGTCGATTTATTGTTCCTTCTCATATTGAAATTAACTGAGGCGTGACGATATTAAACTTCACCTTGAAGTCAAATGCATGGAGGCAGCCATCTTAATATTTCTTATCTTACAAACCTCTATTTAGATAGTCACAAATACATGCAGAGCTACCAATTAAAATGTTTAGTTTCACATAAATACCCCCAAAATACTGATCATTTCCTATACACAAACATATAAGAATTACAAGGAAACATCAAAAGTGTACAGTACCATCAAAACATGTTTGTGTTATTCATAAATTTAAAAGGGGTAATAATTTGAAGATATCCCCTGCCAGTTTTAGTATATTTAGGTAGTCCTTCTATGAAACTTGGACCAAATGCACAGTTTCAGGAGCGACATTGAGATTTGACCTAGATTTTGACCCATTGTTCTACTTATTATATTGAGAGCGACATCATCGATTACTGAAATATTGCCCCATATTAAAGTACAGTTTGAACTTTGATATCAGTTTTGGAAAATGTTTAGTTTGAACTTTATATTCATAAGGGAAACATATGTCTATGACACCTACCACATTTACACCACAGGTGCTCGTCCAGTCTTGGTGCCCATATAAAAAAAAAATGAAAATAAAAAAAAAACACAAAAAAAACCACCAAACAACTATTCCGGGTTGAGTGTAAGAAAAAAATGAATTGTTTTGCCTATACTACAGTATACCATTACTACGAAATGGTCACCTAGTCGCCGTAACGCTATGGAATTTTACTAGGACACGCTGTGGAACAACCACAATGTCCAGTTATGTATCAATACAAGCCATTTTGCTTCTTTACACATCGTGTATTTAGAAAATTGTGAACATTCTTCTTCAACCTTACATACAATCTTAAATAACTTACATTTAACTCGGACACTCCAATTTGTTAAAATCTTTCAATATTCCGTTGATGGTCGGCCATTTTGTCGAAAACGAAAGTACAAAACATACATCGTACAGTTCCGCTCTCCTTGTTTCCTACGTCTACGTTCGCAGAACGGTAGTCAACGGTAACAATCAATTTATTGGTTACTGTTGTCTATTGTTCAGCGAACGTAGTCGTAGGGGACCAGAACAGCGGAACAATACGGTGTATGTTTTGTACTTTCGTTTTCGACAAAATGGCCCAAAATGGCCGATAATCACTGTTGTTTTGCAAAATTGTTACAAGTTGGACTGCCCGAGTTTAAATGTAGGTTATTTAAGATTGTATGTAAGGTAGAAGAAGAATGTTAACAATTTTCTAAATGCACGATGTGGTTGTTGCACAGCGTGTCCTAGCTAGTAAAGCTCCAAATCTTCTTTTTTTCCAATTTTTTTCTTACAATCAACACAGAATAGTTGTTTTGGTGCTTTATTTTAACTTCAATTCTTTTATATGGGCACCAAGACTGGACGAGCACTTGTGATTTACACCACAGTTTACTCAAAACTTTGGGGAAAAGCACTCGTCGAATTCGAACTTAGAGAAGTATACAAAAAGGCATCATACGCTCGATTATTGGCTTACATGTATAAAATCAACATTGTTTCAATCAGTATATATTGTGCCGGAATCTGTCTACATTCTGTTTCGCATAGACAACGGCGCAGACACCTAGCAACTGCGGCTGGCTACCATGATTCGGAGGTACCGCTATTCGGAGACTACAACCACCACCATCCACAGGCACGAGTATCGGACCTGAGAAGAAAAAAATATGACCAGATTGATAATAAAACCTGTGTTGATCTTATTGGTGTCAAAAACCAAAAAAAAATGTAAATAATGACCCCATTTGAAAATAAACTATAAGTGAAAAGAAGGCCGGAAACTCCAGATTCGAGCCTACGAGCAAGGGATTCATTTCCCGGGCCGTTGTGAAAACAATTGGCCAGACAATTAGAAAAAAACTTTTATCACTATTTCACGTACCGAATTGTTGTGCCGCAATTTTGTCTACCAAGGATTTTTAGCACGAATTCGCTCGTTTCCTGATAGATATTTCATGAACGGGTAGGGCTAGAGACTTGGGGTTGGTCTCATTTTGAAGCTTAATACAAACGTGAAATAGTGATAAAAGTTTTTTTAATTGTCTTGCCAATTGTTTTCAAAACGGCCCGAGAAATGAATCCCTTGCTCGTAGGCTCGAATCTGGAGTGTCCGGCCTTCTCTTAACTTATAGTTTATTTTCAAAGGGGGTCATTATTTACATTTTTTTTGGTTTTTGACACTTTTAAGATGAACACAGGTTTTATTATCAATCTGGTCATATTTTTTCTTCTCAGGTCCGATACTCGTGCCTGTGCCACCATCACTACCAACACCACCGCCATGATTAATGCTATTTGGATCGGTATCATGTTATCGTCGCGTCGTACATGGCGGTCAACAAAACATATTCAATACCTCGATTAATGCATACGAGGCATTTATTGTATTGTTCTTGTTCTTACATGTTTTGCCCTTTCAGTCCTTTATATGCGAGAAACATCGAACTATGTTTAACATTGAGACAAGCACACGTCGACTTATAAAAAAATGTTCATAACTTCAATTTAACCTTCTAAATTTAAACTTGGTTGTTATCATGCAAGCACTAGGTCTGAATTAGATCTACGCATTATATTATAAACATGCAATAAATAAAATTAAATCTTACCAGAGTAATGACTCCAATTAAATGATTTATTATCCCTCACATGATATATACATATATATTTTAACATCAAAAATATAATACACGACAGGTAAATTATCTGCCTGTCTGCGCATGTCGGTACACATTTGTTAACCTCTATACATTTATCTAGCCAATCGCTACAATCACGATCGTAGCAGGAAGTCAACTGCACACATTGCATATCGCTCAAGCGTTATTCTGTTTCAAATATATTCTTTCATTCAAAATTTGTTTTAGAAATAAAATATTCGATTAAAAAGAGAAAAAAGTTTGATAAAATATGCATTATAGGATATTTGGAGAAAGTGGTATAACTAAAATACACAACGGAGATTTGTTGTAAATTAAAGGATGTTAAAAGAGTACAGTATACGAAAACTCCGCTTATAACAAACTCATTTGGAGATTCAAAATCTGTTCCTTATATCCGGAGTTCTTTTTAAGCATATAGCGAATTAGTTCCTTGTATCAGAAGTTTTTAAAGCGAACAGTTTAACATATAACGAACTAATTGTTTACCATCGTAGCATTTGATTAAGATAAATAACTCTTGGGTTCGTCATTGTTGTCTCTCTTTTATTGATTCAATAAAGAATAAAAGGAATAATTGCAATGTTGTTTCTTTTTAATATATTTTTATGTATAAATATATCTATAAGATAATTATATGATATGCACAATATATGCAATATTGTTATTTATTAACAATACAGTATCAAGCACAAAAATAATCACTTTGCTTTGAAGAAGTCGCTAATGTTAGTTTGGGAATGTTTACAATTCTTCAGGTTAAATGCAATTTTCAATAAACTTTAAAAACTGTTTCTTCAACATGTGCATTAGACTCTAAGTATGGTCTAATCTTGTGCAAACAATCAATAGCTTCATTTTTGACACAACCGGCAGATCATCTAAATAGTTCTCGGCTTCGGATGATTATCTGTTCCTAATATATCCGCTACATTCGGCCAAGTTTTAATCTGTGCCGATGAAAACGAAAGTAGAAAATACGTGATCTGTTTAAGGATAGCCGATGTTTTGGAGTTTGTTATAAAAGTGTAATTTTCTGTACTTTTTATGGCATTGGGACTAAAAGTGAGTTCCTTATAAGCGATAATTCCTTATAACCGTGTTCGCTGTAACCGTAATATTTTACATTAAATAAAGAAGGGCAAAATTCGGGCAAAAAAATTTGTTCCTTATAACCGGAAGTTCGCTATAAACGTGTTCGCTATATGTCATGGACTTCGACAGTACTCAACGGATCGCAATATTTGTCTTAAAAAATAATTTAGTTTCAGATCGCTGGAACTTTAACTCTTGCACGAAATTAAACTCAATTTTTGTAAGTGTGTTCTTTTGTTGTTGTTTTGTTGTTTTTGTGATTTATTATTTTTCTATTTTATTTTATTTTTTAAGAATATCTAGGTAGCCCAAATTCATCTCAAACACTTAATTCTTGGTTTAAAAAGTATTTAGCATGAGGAACAAGGTGCTGGACTCATGATTTAACTCAACAAGAGCAATAATCCTGTTTTGGCGCAATATGACCTTAATTTTGTCGAAACGCCGTAAAACCAAACAAAACAAATATAATTATGTCTTTGTAAAAATAATAGCGTTATTATCAAATGTCAATTGTCTGTTATCGCACTGTCTATCAGTCCACATCTCGTACTTATAACGAAATCATGTCATCATAGTTTTATCGACGTTTATTAATCATTTCCTGTGTACCAGAAAGTACGAATTTATCAGTACGAATTTATTACATTTAACATAATATAAAATAATATAAACAAGGAAGATTGTAAGCGGACTTTTAGTAGATTTGAATTAAGGTCATTTACGCGTGAACCAGATTGTTGTGGTGCTCATGTAAATTAAGTTTATCTGTCCTTATAAGGACAGATTATTAATATATGTTCACATGATTGTCTTACGATTTATCTCATTGAACTATTGTTAGAAAAGAACTGAGGAAATATAAAGTATACATGCATTAAAGTGGATCAATCATTCTTTTTGCGTAAGGTCAATTATTTCTATTCCTGATGCGGCGGACAGATTAAACTCTGGAAGAATGGTGATCCTTCGGAATCAAGATTATACGCAGAATTAAGTGTTAAGAGGCTTCCTAACGAAAGTGCCATACCGTGAAAAGCGGTGTATTGTCCCTAAATAATAGAATATGTGTGCCTTGAACTAGAAAACAATCAGCGAAACTGTAAAAATTGAATTTAGAAAGGGGATTAGAGATTATGAAGCCTGCATATCACATACAAGACGTCATAAAACAAAGTTGTATGTGAACTCTGACAAGTAATTAATTTTGTTAGAAAAGAAAACACAAACGTATCAGTATATATTTCAAATATAATTTCAGCGGAACATTACATTCTATCATCTTTATCTAAGCGTTGATTCAAAGTTATTTATTCAAAAAGGCATTGGCGCTGCTAATTATGTTCTTTCATAACATCTTGAAATCGTAAAAATCATGTTAACAATTTTGGTTAAGTAAGAAACTGATACAGTGTAAGAGACGCGATAGAAACCAACGATTAATTCAACAAAAAAAATCAAAATAAGGGGTCCTCCTGTCGGTGACTGTCAGATCTTAAAACGCAACAGTTATTTATTAGAAAATTGCAACGTCTATATTTCAAATCTCTTTGCATTTTTCGATAAAATATCATGACGCTGTTTGAGTGAGGTTTGGCGCCCCTAAAACCGGTTTAAACTCCTACTGATCGTTCCAAAGTGTTCCTTCACGTGTTTTTCATGTCTGTGTTGTTACTTGTTTTTGAATGTTTACATGTTTTGTGATGTCTGCCTTGTTGGATTGTCGTTGACGTTAGGTATTTTCTCACACACCCTCCCATTTTTAACCCCTCCCATTTTCACCCTTACAGCCCTTATCCCTTTAATTCCCTTATGGGCCCCTTTCAGTTTATATTATTTAACACATTACATGTCCCTCTCCTTTCACCGCTCTTATATCCACTCCGGGTTTTTGTTTGGTGCCTTTTGGAGTGTCGAGGCTGCGTCCTGTGAACGTTGCCTTTGCCTTGTTGATCATTATTCTTGTCTTGTTTAATTATACAATATCCACAATATCAGTTATTGTAACTTCCAGTGTTTGTTCAAGTCACATGACTTGTTTTAAAACTACTCGGTCATCATATATATAGATATGTACGCTTTAAAACCCAATTATATAGATTTTATACATAAATTTATGCTGGGCCTTTAAAAATGTCATTTTAGCGTGATTTGAGAACATAAGATCATTTTACTAGTTTTGTTATTAATTTGCCTGAGTATCCCCTTACCGTTCTTTTTGCATTAAACAATTCAGTTGAACAAGGTGGGAAAGTGGTTGTTTTTGACAACAATGTTAATATTTTCTTTCATTTTTGTGACTGAAAAACTTCACTTAGTTAGTAAATTGACTATTCTTAATAACATATTACATTAAAGAAAAACTTTTGATCTTATATTTACAGTTGGTGTTGTTTGATGTTGTTTTTTTTTGTTTGTTTGTTTGTGTTTTTTGTTTTTGTTTTGTTTTTTTTTGTTTTTGTTGTTGTTTCTTTATAGCATGATAATCACGACGTTCTTTATTTTTAATTTATATATTTCAAGATGAGGTTGGAAATAACATGAAATCAGATGGTCCTGGGGAAATCATGTTAAGAAATTACGGTACATTCAATCAACTGTAAAATATTCCGTCCCCCGTTGATTTGATATTCCAAGCTTATTTACGAAACATAATTCGTGAATGATCATTATCTGTTAATGAAAAGTCGCAGTCTTTGTTTCACTATTTGGTGAAGCCATGCTTTATTTAAAAATATTCTGTACATTTACGATTAAATGTCTACAGAAGTATCTTATCAAACAATATATTCTGTGAAATATCCTCTCCTTTTAAATAGCCCACGTATATTCTGTAAAATACCCACTCGTTTTAAATAACCCACGTATATTCTGTAAAATATTCTCTCCTTTTAGATAACCCACGTATTTTTTTTAAAATATCTCCTCGTATGAAATAACCCTCGTATATTCTGTAAAATGTCTTCTCCTTTTAAATAGCCCACTTCTATATTCTGTAAAATATTCCCTTGTTTTAAATAACTCACTTATAGTCTGTAAAATATCCCCTCGTTTTAAATACCCCAAGCAAGTCTCCGAGAAAATGGATAATTGCTGAATCAGGAAGACATGTGTAAGCTTTAAAGTAGAACTGTCTGCTTTCTCGTTTTAGTTGTTAAAAGTGATTTTTATAACTATAATTTTAGCGATTTACTTTACATTTTTCATCAATAAGTTGGTTTTTTTTATTAATCTGTAAACCTTTTTACATTTGACATAGTTGTGTGTCTTGTATGAAGAGAAATTGTACTGTTGTTTGGACTGAAAAAAATGATTCAGTGGTCCAGGTGGGTTTTCCTGTCTTGTATGGGAATAAATTGTACAATGTGTGTTAGTGATTAAAGTGTCCTGTATGCATATGCTTCTATGAATCGGATGGATCTGGCAGACATGAAGACGGCGAAAGGGTTCCTAAAGTCACTGCACTTAGGTAATTTGGAATCTGAGCTCAACATTTCACA